GTCTTGATCAAGTTTGGATCAGGTTAGACCTGACCACTGATCAGGTATTGATTAAGTTGACGGATCCGGTCTTGATCAAACATGTTACGCCTCTGACCAATCCGGATTTGATCACGACGAATGGATCCAAACTTGATCAAGTCAACTGTATGAAAACCGGATAACCTGTCAGTATCAATAAAAATTATCAATGATAATCAATCCAAAATAAAAGATAATTCAATTCTTTCACTGTAGGCCGCCTCTCTTAATGAATCTCTACTGTTATTACCTCTGGAAAAGCTTATTATTTTTTTACTGATGCTGGGGATCGAACCGGGGACCCTATGATCGCTAATCATATGCCCTAACCACTACGCTATCACGCTATTACTATTGAGTAAACTGTACATTGCCTATATGATATGTATTGGGGTATTCGTTGAATTTACGATTATTCCTGATCTCGCGGATGTGCGTGTGTATTCTCAAAGATAAAATATGCTCAATTAAATTTTTATTTATTTTATTAATGAATAGTAATAATGATAATAACAATAACACTGATAAATAAATAGACATTTGGTGATTTTTTTTCTCAAGATTATTTGCGTGTAAGTTTGATACTCCTCTAATACGTATTTACTGCATCATCATCCCTCCCATCTTTACATTTGAGAAGGGCTCAAATAAGGGCTCATTTGAGGGCTGGCTGTTAATTAAATTGATTAATTAAATTAAATTCATTAAATTAAATTAATTTAATTTAATTTCTTTTAATTATAGTATAATAATAATTAATTAACTTATCCGAAAAACTTATTAAAATTAATGTCAGGTGGACCGGATCTGAATCTGATCAGTTTCTCTTCAATTGACCCCGTTCATATGCCGATCAAAGACATCAAATCGGAATTTGATCAAATTGGGGTCAGGCAGCCGACCTCAGGATGAGATCGTGCCTACCTGATCAGAATTTGATCTGAATCATCCTGCAGTTTTTCGGATCCGATCTGCTAGATCAGAACTTGGTCAGATTCTCATCAGGCATCATCTGATCATACCTACCTGATCAGAACTTGGTCTGAACCCGCCTGTAGTTTTTCGGATCCGATCTGCTGGATCAGAATTTGATCAGGTTCTCATCAGGAATCACCGGATCAGTCGAACCCTACAAAAACCTGATCAAGTTCTGATCGTCCTTCAGGTGGGCCTGAAGCAATTTCCACTCGGGCCAATTTGATCAAATTCCGATTTGATGTCTTTGATCGGCATTTGAACGGGGTTAATTGAAGAGAAAATGATCAGATTCAGATCCGGTCCACCTGACATTAATTTTAATAAGTTTTTCAGATAATTTAATTAACTATCATTATACTATTCAAATTAAGTTTCATCAACCATTATCAATAATTATTTTCAATCTTTAAAAAGGATCATTATACTATAATTAAAATCAATTTAATTTAATTAACCAATTTAATTAACAGCCAGCCCTTCTCAAATGTACAGGAGGGAGGGATGATGATGCCGTAAATACGTATTAGAGAAGTATCAAACTGACACGCAAATGATCTTGAGAGAAAAAATCACCAAATGTCTATTTATTTATTAGTGCTATTGTTATTATCATTATTATTATTCATTAATAAAATAAATAAAAATTTAATTGAGCATATTCTATCTCTGAGAATACACACGCATATCCGCGAATCAGGAATAATCGTAAATTCAACGAATACCCCGATACAAATCATATAGGCAATGTAGAGTTTACTCAATAGTAATAGCGTGATAGCATAGTGGTTAGGGCATAGGATTAGCAATCATAGGGTCCTCGGTTCGATCTCCAGCATCGGTAAAATAATAATAAGCTTTTTCAGAGGTAATAACAGGAGAGATTCATTAAGAGAGGCGGCCTACGGTGAAAAATTGCATTATCTTTTGTTTTGGATTAATTATCATTAATAATTTTTATTGATACTGACAGATAGGTTATCCGGTTTTCATACAGTTGACTTGATCAAGTTCGGATCCATTCGTCCTGATCAAATCCGAATTGGTCAGAGGCGTAACATGTCTGATCAAGACCGGATCCGTCAACTTGATCAATACCTGATCAGTGGTCAAGTCTAACCTGATCCAAACTTGATCAAGACCTGACCGGAATTTCCACTCGGGTACGTTTACCTCGTGCCAAATAGTGCCTTCTTGTTTAGTCGCAAAGTCTTTTCCTTTATTTGTAGAACTAGTTAAAAAATATTGATCGATGCATGTGAGACGGGAATTTTCAGCTCATGTGATTGGCAGCCTTCAGCTTCGCCTCGGACAGCCAACTTCACACTCGTGGAAATTCCGTTTCACTTGTATCGAAATATACTATTTTTTTTTGGAATCAGAATAACTATTTAGACCATTGCCAGATGTATGTGTGTATGTAGGTATATGTGTGTGTGTGTATGTGTGTATGTGACCGATCCTTTTTCAACAATAACTGAAATAGTACATTGTCATCAGACGATAAAAATATTTGTCAGATAATACCTTGGTTACCATGTGACGTACAATGTTTCATGTCATTGGATTTGACCGGGCGAAGCGAGGCTTGAATCGCAGTTTTTCGGGCCTAATACCGTAAAAATGATTGTTCAAATGAGTTCAATTATAATTTGATAAAATGGCGGCTGCCAATGTTGGCTGGCAACGTTGGGAAAATCTTGGCTGCCAATGTAGGGTCAATGTCGGCTGCCAACGTTGGGAAAATTCATTCATCATGAGTTGTTCAAGTGATGAATTAAATAAGGACAAATGAATCATTGGATTCAATGAAAATATATCCTCATTGAATCTGACCCTTGCTTCATATCATTTCGTTCTGATAATATGTCATTAGAATAATTTTAGAAATACGAGAGAACATGTTAGGTCGAACTGGAATGCACGTTTAAATAATTCGAACTTTTTCAGCACGGAGATGACGAGAAGTATCGATGTTAGGAGAGTGGAGGCTTCGTTGGGGTATTAATACGCTATGAGAGAACGATGACAGCTCACACGGAGAAAAAATACGACAATTTTTCTCTATAAACTCAGAGATAAATTACCGTGCTGGATAGTAAGCGAGACTCAGTTTTCTAACATCGAGGAAAATCAGGTGCCCGCAAAGTAAATATTCATTGCCAATTCGACCAAAAATTACGTACGTACAGACAAATTTTCCAAAGCAACAATATTCAATTCGTGTCATCCGTAATATATTCTATATTTCTTATGTGAACGGAAAGTTCACTGACCCATTCCGGCAGAATTATTCGATTTAGAGGAAAAGATCTAATGGAACAGTAATTTTTTCAATTGTGCATCTACCAGAGTCAATTGAACCCAATTTAGGGTGCAAGCGCGCCAAATTTTCTATTATTTCTTCCTTTGTGCACATATACTACTACAATAAGACAAAAAGTGGGGGACTGTTATGTGCCGCAATGGATAACAAATTGATCCCACGAGTGTGATGAAAGAAAAAAAAATGGAAATCGATCGATGGTTAAACTTTTCTGCAAAAAATATTTTCTCTAGGAAATTTCTACCAAGAACAATTTATTTATTCATTTATTCATTCGTTTATTTGTGTCATTTTTCCATTTGACATCCTACGGAAAGTGTTAGGACTCCTCGAGCACGGCGCCGCATGGCAAAAAATTAAATAAGTACCCATGGAGAAAATCTATGAAGTATTCCATGCCAAATGAATCAACGACTGACCCTCATACTTTTGGAAATTGATCTCGATTTTTTCTACGATTAGGGAGCTAGAAAAATTATCTCTTCATTTTTTCATATTTTTTCGACAGCCCATTTCGGAGATATGAATTTTTTTGTTCATTCTTTTCGTTCCAATAACTCGGGTTCTATTCAGTCAATTTTAATTTATGATTGGTCAAAATTCTCCATTTTCTACACAGTAAAGAAAATCGGTGTTGCTGTCTCTGGTGTGAGAGGTTAAATATTTCGGTGTTAAAATTACCTCTCTCGGAGTCAAATTTTTGGTACGGGGTCAATTTTCATTTTTCACGCCGAATTGTGTTGATTAATATATTTATTTTAACACCATGGCAGTGTCAATTTTCATTCCACTCGCTCTATTTCCCTCCGGAATGAATTAACTCCGTATATTCACACCGAAAACGGTGTGGACTTATTTTCACTCCGTCTGGTGGGCACTCAGAATCGAAACTCACGCTGGATTTTTTACTGTGTACCATCTACAAGAGGTTTTTGGGTAATTTTTTTTTCAATCCCTAGGTATTAGTCCTCATAATACCGAATTTTCAGAAAAACAAAATGGAAAAACTAGAATTTTCCAAATTATATTACCTTTTATTTTTCTCATCTTTTTTTCAGTAACTCTTATAATCAAAACAAGTATGTTCAGCCGTCATACAAGTTGGGTTTCGTCTTGGATCTGTTTTAGTTTTATTTTGTTCACGAAATTCCGCGAATTTGGTCAAAATACCCAAAAACAACTTCGATTATGTATAAAAAAATATGTAACATATAAGTATGCATTCAAATTTATATCATACTGTCTATAATCAAAGTCAATCAATTTCGAAATGAAAAAATTGTACATAAAATAGATCTATGATGGATCGAGGACGAAACCCAACTTGTCTGACGGCTTAAAATACTTGTTTTGATTACAAGAGTTACTGATAAAAAGATGACAAAAATAAAAAGTGACATCATTGTAAAAATGCAAGTTTTTCAACTTTTTTTTTGAATATTCGGTTTATGAACCAATCGATTATCTGAATGATTTTACTTTGACTGACAGTGTCAAAGATGAAATGTTCGACATTGTTGCTGAATTCTACGGCCAATTTTGAAGTGATTAATATTAATAATATTTGGGTTCCCAAATATTGGAAGCTATTTTCGAAATATCTCCAAATGATTTCCTAACGATTAGAAAGATCAATTATCCATGTTCTAATAAGCATATGCTCAATACATGGAGCTTCAGGAACCACCGGGAACAGGGAATACGGGACGACGAAGCACAGGAGACCCCCAGTCTAGGTCTTATTATGTCTGTAGCGTAAACAGTAACAGCTGAAGAGCAGTAACTTGTGATGTCTTGACGTTGAAATTTATAGATGGCGCTATTAATCGGCCATAATAGTCCGCGAGATTCGAATTATTGTTGGAAAATAATTTAAATAGTTCAGAAAATTAAAAAATATACCGGAAATAGAAGAATAAAGAAAGTCTGGAATACAATGGACAAAGAGAACGAAAAACAGCATCGCAAGCATGAGAAAAATCGTTACAGAAATAGTAAATGTCAAATACTTGAGTTTTATTCTTATAATTTACAATTCTCCAAAATTCTCGTTGAGTAAACACTTTCCTCGAAAATCCAAATTTAGAGAAGAAAATAAATTTAACGGTTACGGTCCCATGTCGTAAAATCTCAGTTCTGGTTATTTCGAAAGGTTCTCTGTTTCACGTGACTAACACGTGTGGGCTCTCCTTTGTTCATTGTTTCGCTAGGCTGAGGGCCTGAGACCCTTCGCGACAAAATTTCACGACGTCACACGCTCTCCTTCTTCCCCTTTTTTCATTTCCCCGCTTTTCCTTGAGTTTCACTTTTCCCTCTCCCCTGGGCCAGGATTGCGCGCACAACTTTTGGTCCAGTGGGGTTGCTGAACCCAACCCTTGGAGTTAAGTTTAAGTTTAAGTCAGTTCCATTGTGGATATTCGTGGTGAAACTTTCAACTTCCAGCTTCTCTCTTCAAATAGTTTTTCAGTATAGTTTTCTAGAGTTTATTAAATTCATTTTTTTTTGTAGTGCAAAGTTTAAAGTCTGAAGTTGAAGTATTTTGAATGAAAGTGTTTGTGTGCTCTCTTAAGGACTTGTGTTGAATTTATTTCACAATTCAACCCTTCCAACCAAATATTCTGGGATTAAACAATTGGACTTCGATGGAGTGCTCATCAGAGCTTTGGCGGCTAACGAATCTACAATTAAAATTGGCGCTTTAAATTCCATTGACGCCACTGTCCTCCTAGTTACTTCAGTAGGACATAACAAACTGTTGTATGAGGATTCTCAATTTAGGGATTTCAATAGGAAGGTGGCGGGTAAGTTGCCCGTGAAGTGCTGAAGCACTCTGCTCGTTGGAAGCGGGAATGTTCGAAATAATGTTGATGACTCACAATTATTTAACTTCAAAAACTCTGTACTTTTAATCAAAAATATTATTTAGACCAAGATATTATTACAATTTGAGGAACTGTTTCCTCTTTGAACGATGAGATAGGAGTGTTCTTACTTCAAACTTCTGCTTCTTAGGCTACTTTACAGAATTTCCTTAAGTCTAAATTACAACCCCTAAGACGTGGTAAGGAGCCAATCACAACGCTACCTATTCCGAGGGCTGGCCATTTCACCCCCACAACGCTTGACCTTTGGGTCCCACCTACTCTCTAGTAGCGATGCCTGTGACGTAGGGCCCAACGTGGCAAATGGGGGAGAGGAAAAACATCTGGCAACGAAAATAGGGGAAGAGGGTCCGGGGTCCCAAGAAGGAGAGGGCAACTCGTCCCGGATTAGGACTCGAGGGAGCATCTAGACTCATTAAGGAAAATTGTCAATGGGTTTATGATAGAGTTTTACTCGGAAAGGTCTCTTTACGATGGGACTAGAATGTGCAAAGAGTAACGAGAAACTCGACAAAAGGAATAACGATAAACAGAGAGACAGGGAGAAATTTCAGCGAATGTGGAAGGTCGTGTCGACCGTAATAGAAAGACTTTTACGATAGGATTAAGAAATTCGAGAGAAATATTTAAGAGAGAAAATTACAGTTCCGCGTGGGGCGTTATTAAACAATAACCATTTATCACCTTTTATTCGGGCTGTCACAGTGTCTAGACTTTGAGAATATTCCATTTCGTGTCTTCTATTTCCTATCCCCTTTTGAACTCAATTTATTCTCATGGGTATTTGATAATCAAATATAATTATTCTCTATTATTTACATGTATGCAGTTGATCAAACACGCGATGTTTCTACGATTGGTTCGAATAACTCCCGCGGACTGCGAGCTCCACTAGGGAAATATATTTCTGCTGCGGAAATTATATTACTAATACAACTCTACGCAACATAACTAACCAATTTTACCAACGGATGTTTTGTTTGCTCACTAGGGAATTTCGGTTTAATATTTTCACCGTCCCCAAATCATTTTTTTTACTGCATTTTGTAGGGAAACGGAGTACTTAATCAAAAATTGGGCTCCGTAGTTAAGTTCCCCGGAATGTTCTCCTTATTCCTGATACAAATATTCATTTTTTCACACACTTGCACGGAAAGTTCGGACTTTACTCCCTGATGAGCGGGAGGCAAGTGAATACTTCCCTCCCCCGGGTGGAAAGTACTCACTTTCCTCCCGCTCATCAAAGAGCAAAATACGAACTTTCTTTGCAGGCGTGTTAAAAAATAGCATGTGCACCTTGGGCGGGAAACCATGACTTTTCGCCCTTGATGCACAATATACTATTTTCGAATCGTTTTTCATGTAGTTTCGTCCAAACACAGATATCGAAGAGTCGTGTTATAGATCGTCAAAAGTATATACCCCTTCCTCTGGTTCGCCGTCGGGGGTTAAAAAAACGAGAAAACAAAGAAAAAATCGTATCTCCGAAAAGAGCTGTTAAAAAAATCTGAAAAAAATTAAAAGCTAATTTTCCTAGTCCCCCAATGGTAGAAAAAATCGAGATCAATTTCCAAGAGGATGAGAGTCAGCTGTTGACTCATTTGACATGGAATACCTCCTATAAAAATTTAACAATCAACTTCAGGATATTATTAATTGAATCCTGTAAATATTTTGACACTAAATGTTCTCGTTAGTTAGTTGTCCCAGTTCAATGTAGAGTCGTTCTTTAAATAATTCAGTGCTCCGCTACTCCGTTATACAGGGCCATCTACAAAGTTTCGACATATAAATTTCAGTATTTAATCATTTATAATTTTATGTTCATAAAAATATTAGGAACGCTTCTATATACACTACAAGATGTCAAATTTTTCCAGGGCTCAAAAGCAATGTAGTTCGATCCAAGCTAACTTTTATTGAATAATGTAACAAATTTA